ATGGGATCCTTAATTGTTGATGGAACTTGATGAGAGGATCCGCTTCCATGTGAGCTTGTTTGACCGACTTCCATCCTGCAAGTTGAGCGTGTAGACGAACAAAATTCGCGAGTTTCGTCATATTATATTTTGAATATTGTACACAGGCACGTCTATTATACAATTACAAAATTATGTAACTACGAAGATGCTCCGTATAGCGGATAAAAAATAGAAAAAGCAGTATATCCGCTATGATTACATTGTCACTAACTACATCCCTTTAGAAGGAGGTCTGATAACCCGTACGAATCTAATGACGTACGGGGTTTGCAGCGGACGAGGTCGTGGACTGAAACCATACATAGCATTCATGGACGATCCATATACGTGGATCTGCGGCTCCTTGATTGTTGCATTCTCCGAAAATACCGACATGTATTTCAACCTAACAAACCCTCCCGGACGTGGTAAGGAATTCTCAATGGCATCTCGTATGGTCACCGCTTTCTCTTCCAGCTGTTGCCACAATGTCGGATTTTGCATCTGGCCTGCCATCATCACATGGATCCCACTGAACAGCAACCACCAACCCTGTGGCGGCCGAAGAAAGAGTTGGTTCCGTGATACACGTACAACTGCATCTACGAGTTTCTTTGATTTGTTTGAAGAAGCCACACGTAGCACTCTTGCAAATTCATATCCGGTAATACTCAACTGTACGCAACAGTATGACACAGTTCGTGGATAAATCCCTGGGCAACGGAGTGGGTACTGCTCCAAGAATGAACAATGACGAGTTGTGTGTATCAACTCTTGTTTTAGCGATCTCGTCCAAGTTCGTGGCGAACTCCTGATGTACACGAAGTCGAGGCGACTTTTGTAGCGGTCAATGTTGCGGTATGCTTTACGCAGACGGGTGAGGAAAACAGGCTTGAGAAGACCATTAGACACTGGAATAAGGCTCCGGAACTCCAACATATTGGCGAACTTGTAATGACTTACCCAAGGGCAGCCACCCACACTCTCCATTACATTCCAGTTACTATCGGTCCATTGGTCAAGATGTCGATTCATATATGGGACGACGGTCGTCCATGGGTCTTCTTCGAATTCTTCTCTTGGGTAATACTTGAGCCAAGTATGACCGTTATAATGCCGCACCGATTTCGCACAAGGAGGAAATGGTTTTGTTGAGCGCTTGTGTCTCTCGGGACTTCCACTGATGCTTGTCGACGCTGTCGATGACATTATGCACCCTACACACCACACACACATAAGCGACAAAATCGAACGTGTAGACGCTCATAAATAAAGTCATGAAAACTCTGCGATGAGGCTAACACTCAGTGATGGTACTTCCTTATCCGGGCTAAACTATTTGTTATATGAAAATTTGCTAGTATGAACCAATGCGTTTAACACGTTTTCCTTCGTAACTATACAAGCCGTGCAGGGGTGAGCCGAATGTGAGCATTTTCAAACCCTCGGGTTCGTCATTGTCGTCCCTGTTGAATAATGATATATACGACATCTTTACAAAACTGCTGGTTCCGGCGAGAGCGACACCAATAGCATTTCTTATGGTGCATATTTTATGTTCTACTTCGTCCACGGACTCTTTCACATTAAATACCGAATTCTCGCATGCGTGTTTATTCGACATTGTTTCGCATCGTACCTATATTAATCTTTCACCCTTACCTGTGCATGCTACGCAATTGACTCTACATAAATCGCTATCGTTTAAGGAAACTCTCACAGAGCAATACGATATGCGCTTATTGCTCGTCCCCGCTTCGTTACGTACGGGGTACGTTAACATGTTATTCGTTAAAATAGGACATTATACTGTGTCCTCTTTCTAACAAATTCTTTTTTGGGTCAGGGCCAAGCAACGTAGGCACGCCCATCCAGTGTTTAAGCACATGCAGAAGTGTGCTAAGATCCGTACTTGTGGTGAAACTTTATAAATGATATCCCAAATGAGGAAGCGTTTTCAAACCCGTACATGTTAGGCACGCCGCACGGGAACCTTGTGCGGAAGTTTGTCGGGATCCTTACTTGCAGAACTTCAAAAATATGGCACTGTTGGGAATCCTGTGCGGAAGTGTGGTGGGATCCGCACTTGTCAAACTTCAGAAACGAATAACGATAGGCACGCCCATCAGACAAACCCTGTGCGGAAGTGTGCTGGGATCCTTTTTTGTTGAACTTTAGAAATGTGCCGAGAATCTTGTGCCGAAGTGTGTCAAGATCCGTACGTGTTGAACTTCATAAACGAATAACGACAAGCATGCGCATCAGGGAACCCTGTGCGAAAGTGTGCTGGGATCCGTACTTGTTAAAATTCTATTCCATAATTGTGACGAGCAATGTGTCATGATTGCTTCCTCGTTGGATAATTATATTAGAAGACGTAGAGTAGCCACAGGCACGCCCATCCGGGATGCCAGTCCGATAGTGTGTCGGGAGCCACACTTGTCAAACTTCAAATTTGTGAATGTGATGAGCAAGGTGTCATGATTGAATCGTTCTTGGATAATACTATTTATTTCCTTTATGCGTGAGTTGCACATGCATGGCAATCGTCTCGCCCGAGGCGGTTGTCTGAATGTTGTAGAGATTCAGACTTCTTTAGAAGTACAAAAAATTATTTTTGATATACAATTTATTTTTTCCGGTCAAGAACGCAAAATTGTCGGTTACATGTAATTCAGGCGGTACATGATTGTCTATGCACACAAGAGACGTGATGTCACTGGTCTTTTACTCTTTACATAACGAACCTCACACACACGCACACACTCGTCGAGATTTGTCTTGCATCCACACTCTAATTCGTCATGTCGCACCACACACACGAATATCATTTCGAGGTGAATTATATACACATCTTTGGATGACCTGAATACAATTTGCAACGACGAATGCAATGTGATGAATGTAATGGCACGACAGACGAGACGGACCTGACAGAGATTCCGAAGGCAACAAACGACGCCAGACTAGCAGTCAACATACCAAAGACAACTCAAACTCGCAACACCAAAAGAAAGTAATGTCGTTGTGAAAGCGACAGTCAAAATATGAAATATTCTGAAACAGAAGTTTGCAAATCAATCGAATCCATCAAAGACAACGGCATTCTAAGATATATGATGCCAATTATCGTCTAACATACGGAATATTTTTACAAGAAAACGTGAAAGGCGGTCGATCACCATGTTGCAACGGTGTCACAAACATCAACATAAATACCCTACAACTAAATCCATCCACTTGTCTTGGAACTTCCTCTATAACAACATTTGTTGCTACCGACTTCCAGCGCCTGCACGACCGCCTATGTGATGTTTGACATTCCAAATAATGTACGATCAACTCGAAAACACTAAGATAAAAACTAAAATCGGCTACAACGCAAGGGAAAGAATAAAAAATCTCAAGAACATCATCTCTCAAGTTCACGGAAAGGAGGATCCAGTGATCATTATCTTTGAGGATCGGAACGAAGATAATATCATATTGAAGCAGATCCACGTTTTTAGCCCATCTTTCCACCCCGCCGTGTCCTTAAAGTTGCAGTTTAGTGAAGAAGAAAAAATAAAAGTTGAAGACTCGAAGGCCTGAAGGGATGTCAAGTATCCCATATGCGGTCGTTCCCAATAGCGCCATGTAAAAGTTGACGACCTCATCATTCACCCTGCCGTCGGTAAGTGAGAGGGTTAGAATATCCTTCGCTGCAATGCGCAACTGACCATCGCCAAGGGTCGAGAGTACAGTGTCAGGTGACACCAAGCCTCGTTCAATGTCGTCCAAAACCCGCAAGCTTCCAATCGCAGTCAGTGCTGTTCCAGGTGCCTTGGCTTGCACTGCACAACATCGAGCAAAGGACAGGGGGGGAAGTGAGAAACGGAACTCTAAGGATTCTCCTTCATCGCATGACGAGTAGCTAAGTATTTCTCATACATGGTCTGACCCCTAGTCACAGATCGTGGATATCTCCCTTACTCGGGGGGAAGAAGGGAAAGACACTCCTCAATTGCAATGGCATGCTCCTTCTTCCCGATTTCGACATCAACCCCTGACGCCTTTAACTTGTCCTTGTGTTTTGTCGTCAACCCCGGGACTGTTTGCAATATGTGTTCTGGATATTAAGAGGGCCTCCGTATTCGAGACGACCCTACCCCTGTACAATAAACGAAAGACAAAACGGAAAATGAATACACGATTCCGAAGAAGAACCCCACGAAAGGACAATAAAAGAACCACGAAATCTAAAAGACGCAGGACCTATGCAATTACACAACCCAGTCATGCCATGAGAGTGCGAGAGAGAGAACTTCCGCATTAGCCGCGCTGCAAAACAAAACGAGCAGTGCACTCGAGCTCGACACCCCCACCCTTCAGAAGGGAAAAACACATCAAGTCACAGAAGCGAAAGCCAAACATCTCTGTAGTCCGGATCCCGACGGACTTTCCCGACCCAGGGAGATGACCCAACCCCTGGACAAACGAAGGAAGAGAAAACAGGAAATGAATATACGTAATCCAAGACGAATCCGACGAAAACGATAATTCAAGAACCACGAAATGTAGAAGGCGCAGGACCTATCTAATTACAGAACCCCGTTTAGCCATGAGAGAGACAGAGAATACTTCCGCGCAAGCCCCGCTGGGAAACAAAAGGAACAGTGCGTTCGACCTCGACACCCCCGCCCTTCAGAAGGGAAAACCTCAACAAGCCACAAACGCGGAGGCCAAACATTTATGAAGTTAGGATCCCCACGGACTTTTCCCAATCGAGGCACAAAAAGAGTAACCGCATTACGCAGTGGCCTTGGCAGTGTGGATCCCGACGGACTAAAACCACCACTCATTCCGAAAAAGAAACACCATCTTTCCATCATGTGACGGGACGCTTCAACAAAAACACACATGTACTTCACACAATGACCTGGCCGACTCACAGGACGGTCGTTCACATGTACTTGGAAGTTTGAAGGAGTGGTGGCTGTAGCATGCCGGCATCAGGAACTCCCCGCATCGACAGACACTACGGTCACTGACGCACAGATAGAGTGGCGTTTGTCACTACTTACCAGCTGGTTTGTCTCTTCGCTCCGTAATCGGCGAAGTTGGCACGGGCAAGGCCAGCACGTCGAGAGCTCGAGTGCCGACTGCAGTTTTTTTCGGGGATGTGACGTCTTGTCGTCCCCCGATCTCGCCTTCTCCTCCGCTGGTGATGGTCAGAGGCAGCATCTGAGAGTTCGTTGGCGACAAAGCCACAACAAATCCCCCGGAAGGTTTGACGTCGAGAGGGTCGTCGACACCAGGCATAGAGGACGGCTGCGCGGACATGTGGTGGTCACCTAGGATGTCGTCGATAACTTCTTCGATGTCAATACGCACACTCGGTTTATTCAGGCTGACCGCAACACTAGAGTCGTTGAACCGTTGTTGGAGATCGATGGCAGACGTCATTCCTTCGACCTCATAGTCATCACGTTCTGCAGAAAGGCTTGTGACCACCTGTGTCTCCATACCCAGTGCCGTGTCATCCTCGTCGTTGTCCTCCTCCTGATGTTCTCCGTACAGCTGCCCGAATCCGTCAGACGACTCTCCAGATCTGTCATCGTCGTCGCCGAACGTCCGTTCGTCGTCTCCAGTATCGAGTTCACCTTTTTCCCCATCATTCCCTCCTAGCAACCCAGCCAACTTTGTTTCTTCCCCTTCCTCGCCTTCCTCCCCTTCATCCTCTTCTTCCTCCCCTTCCTCCCCTCTTTCCTCCAATTCCTCCCCTTTGTCTCCTTCCTCCCCTTCCTTCTCTTTGTCCATCACCCTGCCTTCGTCTCGTGAGTTCAATCCAGCCACTTGGCCCGAACCCGTGTCGAATTCTGAGGAATGCCCGTCCCGCTCGCCGCACGCAGCCCTTCCCGCTGGCACGACAATCCCTGGTTGGCCCCCCTTGCCAGCAAAAGTTCGAATCCCGGCGAACTCACCGAAGCGGTTGGCGGTCCCCCGCAGGCGGCGCAGTCCCGTCCCTCACCGCACCGCTGTCCATTTTGGGATCATGACTCGCCACCCCCGCTCCCGACAAGCTCTGCGCGTGCGTCCTCTTCGTCCGCTCTGCAAGCATTGAAGTTCGGATCCCGGCGGACTTGAACGTTTCGACCGAGCCGGCACGGAGAGCAACCAAGGACGCCATCGCCGAGCCGGCGGATGAAGTGGGCACGTCTCTCTGACTGTGCCGAGCTTGCCGGACCGGGACCGGTAGACTGCTGACGCCCGAAGGCCTTCTCCGCCACCCAACTGCTGCCTTCCACTGTCGTTGTGTCGCCCTGAGACCCGCTGTCCGAGCCAGGTGGGACTCCTTTGCCGCCACCAGCCTCGTCGCCCTCGTTCTCCCCACTGTCCGGTCCCCGGGACCATGTACTTACATGCGTCCCATTGGGAGGGGGGATTTTCAAGTCCACCCTTCCCTTCGAGGGGCTCGTATCGAGGTCATAGTAGTCCTCCGTCAACTCCAACCAGCACTTGTCCTGAAGTTCGGCGAACAATCGCCCAACTGTGGAAATGACGGACATGTCTTCGGGTGCGAAAGAGTCATTCTCCGCCCTCACTTTCTGGAGGACCGCAATTCTAGCGACGTCGAGGAAGTCAGACTTCGACCCGCGAGGGAGGGGCACCCATCCTTCGTCCAGGACAGCGACGGCCACGATCCACTCACCCTTTTGAATCGCCGGCTGGATGACTCCTGGATGCCAAATCATGTCATGGCCCAAGTCCGCCTCCGTGGAACGACTTTGAGGCTCAGGCAGCAGCAACTCCATCGGGGTAGTGCCAGGCGCCGCTTTCGCCATCGGTGACACGAGGGATGTCGGGCTTGTTGACGGACCTGCGAAGGACGACCCTGTTGTGTGCTGCCCGGGATGCTGGTCGTACTGCAGGTCGAGACTTTCGGTGTCGCTGCCCTCCTCGTTCGCGGTCCTGTTGAACTCGATGCCGGTGGTCTCCTTGTCTTACGTGAAGATCAAGGAGGAGTAACTGTCGAACGTCAACTCCTCCTCCGACTCCACGAAGTACAGGGACTGCAACCTCTTGAGGAAGGTCTTTGCGTTCATGCGGGAGACGCCGTGGTAGTTGTCGAGCAGCGTGAACATGTGATCCTTGCGGTGCACATACTCGGCGTCAGTGTCTCTCTTGGACTGCGTTTGCAAGAACAAGAAGTCGTATATCTTGTTCCGCTTCCTCGCACTCAACTTGAACCACATGTCCGTCTTGATGTTCCACGCGCGAGGGTGAGACTCGTTGATGACCATGAACCCGCAAATGTGGGCACCTGAATTGACCTCGCTCTTGACGAGATCAATTGTAAATTGCAAGAGCTCGGAGTTCCCTTCCATTGCGATGACGTGTCGTCCTGCCTTCACCAGTTCGCACACGGATCGCGCGTGTGGCTTCTCGAGGAAGCATACACCCTCCACCTTCTTGGTGACGGACTCGAGAAGATTAATGAATTGCGTGGGGTTGCGTTCCATGTCCCCGTACAGACTGCCCCGACGCGTAGGCGAGACATGCGACCAATCGCAAGGGTTGAACGGGATGTCGGACACATCCGTTTGCGTAACCTTCTGCGGCAGCCGCACTACAGCATCGGCGGCAGGCGGCAGTTTCCCCTCGTAGACGACGGGCGTGTTAGCACGCAAATCGACGCCTTTGAAGAGTATGTACATCCGGTCGTCTTCCGTGTACAAATTATTCTCGACGGGCAAGATTTTCTTCTGTTAACTCTTCCTCACCCACTTCCCTTCTTGCATCTTCACGAAAGAAAGGTGGTTCATGCTGGCCAGAAACGAGAGGTTCCGCTGCCTCGGGACGAAAACGACGAGCGTCCAATGCGACGGACACCATGTCTGAAGCTGGGAATCCACAGTGTCGAACGCTTGCGGTTTCCACAGCTTGAGGTCCACCGGTTCGCAGAGATCGAGGACGAACGTGTGACTCTTTGTGGCAACCACCGCCTCCTTCACCTCCGCACACCTTATGTTTGCCTCCAAGGGGTCGTTGCCGAATGACGCGATGGATATCACGTCGCCCGTGTCTTTCCATTTTATGTGCGCAATTCCTTCGGCAAGTGCGATCTCGCAACTCTTCAGTCTACTGCCAGTCAAAACGGACAGGACCTTATTCCTCCAGTCGATGGACAGCTTCTTGTGACCGGCCAACTTCTTCGTCGCCTCGATGGATTGGTCGTCGTCGCAGCCCATGTAAGGCGGGTAGTCCTTGAACAACGAGGAGTCGATGACGTATTTCCTGCTCCCGTCCCACAAATCTGCATCCAAACCACGACTCTCAAACTGTTTGAAAATTGCGGACCTTGTTTTCAGGAACGGGCACCTCTGGCTCCAATTCGCGTCCGGCCTCTTCTCGTGCTTGAACTGGTAGTAGTTCCATAGACGCACCAGCACCCGGTCGCACTTCACCAAATGAACCATGTCCTGGACGCTCAGCTTCCCGAGCTTCGCCAACGCCGCAGAGCCGGCCTGGACCCAAACCACCTCGCAAGCGAGAACCTTCTTCAGGACGCGGCACTTCTCGTTGTCGGTCAGCGACTCCATCGCTTTCCAACAATGTGCGTCTGGCTCAGGCACTTGCACGAACCAGTCGCCCTCCTCTTTCTCCTTTTTGCCCTTCTTTGTCGGCGGGTCCATAGGGACGTTGTACACGACCTCTTTCATGCCCGTCTTGTCGTTCTCGACGTAGGCGACCCCGGGCTTCACATTTTTGACCTTCTTCTTCCGCATGATCCACTTTGCGCCATCGTGGCCAAGCAATCTACTAGTCTCCCATTTATCGAAAAAGTCAACGGCCAGTTTCCATACGTTCTCCCCTGCCATCGCCAGCGGAAAATAGGAACGCAGGGCCGCGCCTTGCTTCCTGATGGCGTCGTCGCCCTTCTGATCTGCCATCGTCCACAAGTTGTTGTGTGGTGTCACATTGAGCGTGACTTCACAAAATTCACGCCACTTTCAGACCTGAGCCTATTTTCCGCTGGGGTTTCCCATAACAGCACGCGGGCACCCGTCGCGCTTCCACTGCCACCTAATGTCTTTCATCGACAGCTTCAACTGTCTCGGGGGCGCCTTCAGGTCCTTCTTGTTGTCCTGGGAATTGACAAGGAAGTACCCTTCGAAGTCGTCGTCAGAAAAGTAGAGCATTCGTGCAGGCCACCACTCGAAATTGTATTTCCTGGCCACCTCGCTGCAACCGCGTTGTGCTGCCCATACACCGGGTAGTAGTAGTATTGCCCCGCCAGCTCATACAGCCATTCCTCCGGCCTCAGACGTTCTGCCTTGGTCCCCGGAGTCGGTTTATCAAGCCCTAGCGGTGCCAGCTTCAGGGTAGGCAAATCCTAAGACTGCGCTTTGTTTTCGAACGCCAACCACATCGCTTCTTTGATCCCTTCCACGAGCACAAAATCCAGGGACCACTGGTTGTACATGTCCTCCCACTCTCCGAGGTCGACGACCTGCGCAGGGCTAACCTCAAACTCCCTCTTTGTCCGAACACCGTCTTTGTACTCGAGGAAGTACCCGACGTCGACATCGATTGGAGGCCTTTTCGTCGGTGGAGAAGACGTTCCAGACGGAGGCCGCTTCTGTCTCGAAGCCGGTCGTTTGGCAACCTGGCGGCCCTCCTCCCCCTCAGTCCCCTTTCGTTTCTCTTCTGCAGTCCTGGGGGCCTTGCTCTTCAGCTTCTTCGAAGAACCACCGAACTCGTCTGTGCCATCCCCCCTCCTCTTTTGCGGAGTGCGTTGCGTGCCCAGGCTGCCTGCGGTCACCTCATCCACACTCTGGCCCTCACTCACCTCCAAGTCGACCTCCGAAGAGGCTGCCACCTTTCCTGTAGGTTCCGCACTCTCCCGTCGAACCGGATCTCCAATGTCGACCCCTGGAATAGACAACACCGACCGCCGCCTGTCCCTCAACGACGCTGCAAGCCCCTCTTCCTCGCTATCGTCGAACTTTCCCCGGCTCTCGCCGCGGTGCATCTGAGTAGCCGGACCTGAACCCAAATCACCGCCCTCCACCGCCGCCCCACTTGACTCGCAACCGCCGCACGGCCTGAAAGGCAATGAGAGCTCCAGGGAGGGGCCGACGTCGCAGGGGACGTCGAGAACGATGTTCTTGTCCTCCAGCTTGTCGAAAAACTCACGCGCCAAAACAAAACCACCCATGAGAACGAGTTCTCTGTAGAACAGGGTGTCCATAGCACCCGCTCCGAACCCCTCACACAATTCGAGGTCCAACAACACCCCTTTCGAACTGGCAACAACGTTGCCTTTGGAGCCATAAACCTTTTCCATACGGAAATGTCGCCAGCCCCCATTCGCGTCCTCCCACCCCAAGGCGGCCCGAGGCACTCGATGCCTTTTGCCGTCATCGACGAAGATTACAAGACCACATGGTTGCGTAGTGGGGTTGGAAGCATCTCCACAGCACCAGTCGATGAACCATTTCGACTTCGAATGGTTCGACCATCCTTTCGTGGCAGTAGACGACCTCCTCGTGGAATCTTTTCCGGATGTCTTCCCAGAGGTCCCCGTTGCACCCACCTTGCCCTTTGAAGAAGACATCCTGTCTGCGAACGACAACCCAAATCGCACCACGCACCATGCAGTCAAGGTTTTGGAAAACACATCAGGAATAGAACAGTCGTCGGCACACGGTGACGCAAGCTCTTGCGCAGCAAAATCCGCACGCAAAGACACCCCGGAACCCAACTTAGGAACGGCTAGAATGGGTAGTTCGCCGGAATCCGAATTTCAATAGTGCACGAGTCGGAGAGGCAGAGTGTCGGGGATCAAGCGCCGTTTATTCGGCAGACAGCGCACCAGAAGAACGAAGAAAGACCAACGGATACGGAAAATCGAGAAGTTCGTCGGGATCCGAACTTCACGACTGCCGGTCATTTTCGAAGCTCGCGTTGGACGGTGCAGTGTCCTCCGCCCAGCACTTGGAACCCGGACAGACTAGCACGCGAAGTCCGCCCGGGTCCAGACTAAAAAACGGTGCGAAAGAAAGAGAGAAACAGCCAGCCCATGCAGTCGGCATTCCAGAACTGTTCTCGAGCGAACACACTCCGCAAATGCATTTGATCGAAACCAGAAGTCAGAAATGGACTCTCCCCATCGCCGGGCGGGTTGTGCGAACCAGCGGACGGGCATGTCCGAAGACAAACCAATGCCCCTCCCGAATCATGAAGTTCGCCGAGATCCGAACTTCAGAACGATGCGACAGGCAGAGACGGTGTCAGAGACACACGATCCATGGACTCAAAGAAAAACATGACCTGGGAATGACAAACAAACATGAGAGGCAGGTTGAGAAGGATTAGTTCGCCGGAATCCGAACTTCTTTTGATATGCGCAGCAGCCTTGACAACATTGTGTTGGTCCTTGGCGGGGCAGAACGGAACGTGTGGAGCAGCGTGGACAGGAACTGTTGTCGCATTCCACGGGGGATCAGGAAGACCAGTGTGTGTCCAATAGACAGGCGTCACAGGAAGTTCGCCGAGATTCGAACTTAAGGACGCTTCGAGAAAGACACACAGAGAGAAATACCGGATCACGTATGAGGTTAGACGCAAGACGGGGTCCGAGCAAGGTGTTGGAGGGAGAACTTCAGAATTGTTCTGCCAGCGTCGAACTCTGCGACTGGGATCCCTTAGAGTGCTTTTGGCATTTCGCAACGACAATGATCGACTGTTTGGCACATGCCGATGGTGGACGGGCGACAACCGAACGCGGACAGGGCACACTGCACTCCGGTTGGCGGCGGTGTCAGATCGTGAATGTGCCCAGGCGGAACAGGTCGCAAATCTTTTACGAACGCCGCGCCCAGCCGGATTTAGGTCTCCGGCAAACAGTTGTAGCTCGAAGGCCGGTCGGACGGGCCTGCGGCATCAAGCAAGACCCTGCCTGTGGGCCCCGCTGGTTCGTGCGGCCCGCCCGACGCCAACAACACCGAAGCCAAATCAACTCACACCCCGAAATGCGAAGTTCGTCAGGATCCGAACTTCGCCGGGGCGCTACAGTGAAGGAGACATCGTCAGAGACAGACCTCTCGTTCAGATGTGTCGACATTCAGGGTTCCCCTGGGACGACGTAGTGAACCGAAGCCATACAAAGCATTCATTAATGATCCTTATAGGTGGATCTGCGGTTCGTCTACCGATGCCCTCTCAGAAAAGACGGACATGTATTTCATCCTAACAAACACACCCGATCGTGCTAAGGAATTTCCTATGCAGTCCCGTATATCGCACACTTTCTCCTCGACCTCACGATGCATCGAAAAGTTTCGGACCTGCCCTGCTATAATCAAATCACGCCACCCATCTACACGTTCAGGCCCGAGCGTCTCCACGAATTTGGACCCCTCAATCACCACCTCGTTGCCTGACACAAGCACAACTGCATCGACGAGTTTCCTGCTCTTGTTCAAAGCAGCGACACACAAAACTCTGACGAAATCAGACCCGAACACAGTCAATCGCACACAACAGTATGGCACAGCTTGTGGAGAACTCCCGGGGCAGCAGAGCGGGTACTGCTTTAGGAATGAGCAGTGGCAAGCGCAGTCCACCAAGTCTTGTTTCCGAGGCATCCCCAAGTTTGTGGCGACGACCTGACGTAGTGGCACTCGAGGCGGCTGAAATGGCGGCTAATGTAGCCCAGTGCTCAGCGCATGTGGTTTAGGAACTTGTGTCCGAGGACAGCGTCAGACACCGGGATGAGGTTCCCGAACTCCAACATGTTGGGGAACTTGTACTGGCTTGCCCAAGGACAGCGACTCTCCATTGTGGCCCAATTCCGATCGCACCAGCCGTCAACATGCCCCTCCAAGCACGGGACGACGGTCATCCAGGGGTCCTCGTCGAAGTCCTCTGCGATCGCTTCGTGGATCGTAGTTACACCGTTAAAATACCGCACGGATCGCGCGCAAGGAGGAAATGGTTCTGCCAAGCGAATGTGCATCTCGGGAGTCATGGTCTGTGGTGTCGAGAAGATCGGCTCCACGATTCGTGGTGTCGAGAAGGTCGCCTCCATTACGCACCCTACACAACACGCGCACATGCYAAACGACACACACGGGCACGGAGACACTCGTAAACAYGTCGTGTTTYRYGATCTGCGACCCTTGGCATCAGACGGAACGCGCGCTCGAAGATCCGATTTCGGGGGGTCGACCTGGTCGGTGTTCACATCTGCCGGCCGGCCGGCCACCCGCAATCATGTCCCATGAGAGCTTGGCACCTCATGTTCGTCGTAATCAGAATTTGGTGAGACTGCGCGGGAGAAACAAAGTTGTCTCTCAAACTCGGCGGCCCAAAAGTTCTTGAAGTTTGCATCCCGGTAGACTTCACATTTTTAAGAATCCAAAGTTGTGGCTATCCATCGGCCATCAGAAAACCCCACAGTCAGAGCCCACACGACCCGAAAATTGAAGTACGCCTGGGTCCGAACTTGACGACCACACGAGGAACCTTGCACGAGAAGTTCGGATCCCAGCGAACTTCGCATTCTCTCGAATCCGAAGTTCGCCGGGATTCGAAATTGACCACTGTCTGAGGAACCATGCACGACGGTTTTAGATGCACGGCCCAGCAGGCCGGCCGCAAACACGAATTGCGAAAAGCGAAAATCTCAAGTTCGCCGGGATCCGAACTTGGCAAAATCGCGTGGGAGAGACACAGCTGGCGAACTCGACGATGGGACGAGGAACCGTGCGCGAGAAGTTCGGATCCCGGCGGACTTCGCATTTTCTGCGAAACAAAAGTTGTGGCAAACCACCGGGCGAGAGAAAGCCCACAAACAGAACCCACACCATGCGGGAAGCGAAGTTCGTCGGGGTTCGAACTTGACGAGTGTACGAGGAACCGTTCATAAGAAATTCGGATCCTGATGGACTTCGCGTTTTCACGAATCCAAAGTCCGTTGGGATCCGAACTTGGCAAACGTGCGAGGAACCGGGCACGCGAGGTTCGGATCCACGGGAGGGCAACCGAGGCGCAAAAATGTCTGGCGA